CCCCCCGAATCGTTGCTAGACTTGGGGTGACAGTAGTCTGGGGAAGTCATAGGGAACCTTTCTTCATTGCTCCATTCTTCCTGGGGACTTGGAGTGAAGCAGCAGCTGCTGCTCATTCCTTCCCCAGACTGGTGACCTCATTCCAGAGAAGGCATGGGGGAGTAGGAGAGAAGAGGCATCTGCAGACTGGAATGTCTGTACGCTCCTTCTCTAGGGAAGATTTGTACTGCTGCACATTTCCCAGAAATATAGTTTCATAGTTGGTAGGGTCGGAAGGGACCTGAGCAGATCATCAAGTCCAACCCCCTACCATGGCAGGAAAAAGTACTAGGGTCAAATGACCCCAGCAAGGTGTTCGTCTAACCTCCTCTTAAAGACCCCCAGTGCAGCAGTAGAAATAAATGCCTGTCCATTTCTTAAATATGCTATCTCAGGCAGAACTGTAAATTAAACTTGAGTGTGGAGTCTTCCCCAAAGTGGACATGTAAAATCAGTGTCCCTTCAGCAAATTTTGACTTTAACTTGAACCTACTAGTATAGGCATCAGTCCTTCAGTTTGAAGTCAGTTGGACCTACCCGTCATCTGAATATTCAGGTGTATAGAGCAAACAGTTCCTTACATTCAGTGGAAACAGTATGTTCTGCAAAGAAAATCCAATCACTTCAACTGAAGGCTAAAATACACATATAGTAAAGTAAAATAATGCAAAGCACAAGTTCAAGTGGACATGCATGTCTCTTCTCAGCTGGAGACCTTGCCTTCACCAGTAGGGTGTGCTAGTTTAAACACCAGTGGAGAGCCATAGTAACTAGCGAGTGGAAATGTGTTTTGGATCAAAACAGTGCTAGTGCTGGTGTAACTCAAACCATGTTGGGTAAGCAAAATGACTTTTCTTTTTGCTGGAACACCTACATCAGCATATAGGCCCCAAATTGTTTTGAAACATCCTATTGTAGAAAAGAGGAAGGAGAACCTGCAGGTACGGGGTCTTGTACCACAAGTTTTGTCCAGTACAGTCAGTGGAGTCCAACTCTTTATCTCTGAAGCTGAGATTTGATTTCCTACATAAAGTTGGTCTTTCCCCCTTCTGACCCTGTCACGCACCAGTAGTCAAACATCGTTACTTAGCAAGAATTCTTCTGTCTGGGGGACAGTGACTGTGCCTGAAGACTGACCTTCCATTCAAAGGAAGTTCCTGCTGATATCTTGCATGGGAATTTCTCTCTTTAGATCACCAAAATGAGGGCCTGCAGCCTCTTAGTCACAGTAATAATCCCTCTCTGCTCTGATCACTATTGTTTATGAAATTGGTATTCCATTTGAGTGAGCCCAGCATAATATGCAGCATCTAGGAATGACTGTGTAAGGCACATCAGAACATTTATTGGCAATCAGTTTCCCTTGCACTGGAAAAGTTTGCTTTACACAAGGTTTCATGAAACTGTCTGCACCTTGCCGGAGTTATTTAGCTGTCTTATAGTGTTGCACTAGGGCTGTTCTGCTCCTTATCCAGGTGGTAGCAAGTGCAGAGCAGTGTAGTATGTCAGCATGCTGCTGCCTGGCACTAGGAATTTTCTAGGGAAGGGGTGTCAAACGTATGACCCGTGGAGATTTATGTCGGGTTGCTGGACTAGCCCTGTCTACACTGTAGTTTGCGCCCTGGACTTTCTGTTCTGCATGGAGCACCAGGTCCAGCCAGTGTGTCACGTGCACAGAGAGTCATGCAGCTGGTGTGTGCTGCATGTGGTGTGTAGCACTGGTTGCACTGCATATGGTGCCCTGCCAGCCAGCCTTGCATGTTGCTCTTACCTGGATTGATCCTCTACTGTCTGCAGCACCAGGTCCTGCCTGCATGCCATAGGCAGCACATGCCCCTGGGGGCTGGCACATGCAGCATGTTAGCTGGACCAGTTGCCATGAGCATTCTGCAGGGGGTCAGTCTTAGCCTAGCCTTCAGACCAACTTAGGGATGTCAGTTGGTTCCTGGAGCTGAGTGAGTTTGACATACCTGTTCTAGAGAGTCTGCCAGCCTCTCTTTCTATATCTGCCTATTGATCTTGCCTTACACAGTCCACTTGTTAAAAACTAAAGTCATGGACAACAGTTAAGTAATAAAATGGGATTCTGAAAATGGGGTATTAAAGGATTGACACAACATCTAATTCAATAAATGACAAAAAGACTTTATTTACTGTAAGTATTCAAAGTTAAATGAGCCCAAACCAAAGTAAAGTCCAGTATTTACCTATAAGGTGATAATTTCTCCCCAAGCAGGCAAAAGAGAGGCGAGGCGGTCTGTTTTCTTGGCAGCTTCTCCAGATATGGATCTTCTCACCTAGAAGACAGCTGGGCGCAGCAGCAGTTCTTGTCAGAAGGAGCTTTCATTTTTGAAGCGCGCACTTGTTTCGTTCCTCTTCTTATACCCTTTAGCTCAGCATCTTCAAAACATTCTTGTAGTTGTGTAAATAGCGAGAGAGTCCCAAGCAGTAATTGGCAGGAAAATCCTGCTAATCAAACTGCTCATTATCAGTTATCAGAAAGTTCCAATTTCAATGAATTACTGCTAAGTTTGGAATATATCAAGAAACTAATTAACCAGAAAAAACACAAGGTTTTTTTCAGAAAAAAATGGGAATTTGGGAGAAAATTGAAATATATGCAATACTTATTTTCTTAGCACCCTTAATAGATCTAAATTCACTTTGCTACTTTAAGAACATAAAATGTATTATGTATAACTTAGTTTCCTCATAAAATTATCGTGTTTGATATATTTATTAAATTTAAAAGTATAGTTTATTCAGACAATAATTACAAATTCACTAATTGAATTTACTTTAAGATGGGAGGGGAAGTGGGCGGGGGTGGAGCCCTGTGCCACACCCCCATCCAGGCCTGCTCCTCCCTTCCCTCCTGCTGTTTGGGGTCCAGGTCCATTCTCCCCCTCCTTGCCACAGCGGTGGAGAGGGGAGGAGCAAGCCTGGGCCAACTCGGCGTGGGGGGGCAGATGCGGACGGGAGGAGTGGGCTCGGGGCCCACATGGGGGAGGAGTGTGCCCAAGGGAGGGAGGAGGCCCCCCCTCCCGTTGGGCTTGGGCCCACTTCACCTCTTCCCCCACCGCCACCTATAAATGGTGTAGTCCACTGCACATGTAGATAATTAGCAAGGAATTCCTTGCTGAAATTATTGGAGCAAAAGCCCCATAACCAGCAAGACTTAAGTGAACAATTGGCCAAGCTGCATTTGATGTGCTGTGCAACATGAGGGGGTAAGGTGCTTGTCTGCCAACTCTCCTTTCCTGCTGGAAAAATTAGTAAGCAGAATTCCACTCTAGAGAGAGCAGCATTGCATGTGAACTGAATTCTGATTTCTTTCTTTTCCCAGTTTGACTCTCTGGCAAACACTACAGGTGGTGGTTAAAGGAAGGGTTGGACCACTGATTTCTTGGTCTTGTTTCCTTTCCTTCTGTTTGTCACTTTTCTGCCTCTGTAGCAAGATGATTTTCCTCCAAGTAAGAAGTGCCTTCTCTTGCAAGGTGTCTCCATATAGCCCTGTCTGGGGCTAGTTTTTCCCAATTTGTGGTGTCAATGCCACGCTACATAATGTTTGCCTTGAGGGTGTCTGGATGCACTGGATGCACACCTTGCTAGGGTTATTTGACCCCAGCAGTCTTTCCTGCCCAGAGCAGGGGGCCTGGATCTGATGATCTCATGAGGTCCCTTCCAGGCCTAAATGTGAATCTGTGAGAGGATTATACAGACCTGACACCTTAACCAGTCACACACAGGAAAGCAGACATCACATCAGAGCTGAGCCTTTTGGTTAGCTGTAAAATCTTTTTTGAAAAAATATTTTTATCAGAATGAGAAGAGGCCTCCATAACCTGCAAGTCCTGAAATGGTTAAAACATGTTTGTCTTCCTGTAACAATGTTTTGTCTTGTTTGGTTTGTTTGTGGTTTGGTTGGTTGTTGTTTGTTTGTTTTTTGGGGGTGGGGGGGAAACGAGGTAACTGAAAACATACCCTGCTTTCCCCAAGCATTATGTCATTAAGTAGATTCATTAATACTCAGTACTCTTCCCCTCTTTTTTTTCATTGCCTGTCTTCACCTACAGTTTTGCGGTGTCCTCATCTAAGACCACCTTCTAGATCACTAACGTCTCCAGGTGTTTCCAGGAAAGCTGGCACCAGCCTAGTGTACTACTTAATTGTAGGAGGAGCAGTCACTGGGACAGGAGCTTATGTAAGATGTTTCAGCTAAATTATTTTGATATGGTGCAGGGTGGGGGAAGATATCATGGCATGATTAAAACTTTTATGCCTGTTTACATGTGAAAATCATAAAACTCCTTCCCTGCAACTTTGCCCAAGTCTGCATTCTAGGATCTTCTCCATAATAGAAATAAGTGAGACTGGCAAGTTTGCCTTTGGCTTTAGAACCATTTCTAGTTGTCCCCATCCCCTCCCCTTCCCATCTGTATTGTGCTGTGTGCCCCCCT